CGGATTTCTCCAAGGCCTTTGACCGAGTTAGCCACAAACATTTGGTTGCTAAACTTAGGGAATGGGCACACGGGAGGGACTAAGGCTAAAGGTGTAGTGACGTCATATCTCTAGTGGCTAATGTCTACTCTTGAGGCAACACGACTACCGTAACGAAACGTTGTGTTTCAGCGGCGTTCGTGGCATACTTAGTAGCGTTCCGATTTGGTGTTCAGGAGGTCCCGGGTTCGAATCCCGCTGGTAGTATTAATTTTTTGTCAATAAATTTTTCATATCAGCAAGTTTGGTTGGTTAGGTTAGGTTATGACAGTTTAATTTTATGATACTAAATTTTAAAATTAATTTTATAATTAATTAAAAATTATAAGTAATCATTAATTAGATTTTTATCTGATACAGTTTTTATATTATCAGCAAGTCTGGTTAGTTAGGTTATGTTATGACAGTTTTATTTTAAAAATTAAAAATTTATTTTATAATTTTAAAACAATATTTTATAATTAAACATTTAATTTTATAACTAAAAATAAAAAAAAAATAATTTTTTTCAACTTAGCGGTTCTAGTGGCGAACGCTGTACAAGATATATTAGCCTTAGTCCCTCCCGTGTGCCCCACCGCTAAACTTAGAGCCATTGGAATAAATGGACCCCTCTTAATGTGGTTAGAGAGCTACCTCCAGGATCGGTTTCTTCAGGTGCGAGTGGCTGGCTCTTTGTCTCAACCGTTTCCTGCTATTTCCGGGGTTCCTCAGGGATCGCTTCTGGGCCCGGCCTTGTTCACCATATTCATCAATGATTTGGTTCAGCATTTGGGTTCAAATGTACTGCTTTTTGCTGATGATGCCAAGATCTTCAGAGAGATTTCTCATGTGAGTGACTGCGAGGCTCTACAGAATAGTATTGATTTACTGTCAGTATGGTGCCAGATGAATGAAATGTCTTTGAATGTCTCAAAGTGCTCGGTGGTAACATTCACCAGATCTAATAATCCTATTATTCATCTGTATAAACTTGCAGATCAGCAGCTTCAACGTTCTTCAAAGGTCAAAGACTTAGGCATCATACTCTCTCCTGACCTCAATCCTCAAGAGCACATTAACTATATTTGCAAGAAGGCCAACTCAGCACTCAATTTCATCACCAGGGTCAGTCATGACAGATTTTCAGTATCGGCACTGGTAACTCTTTATATCCATCTTGTCAGACCCATACTTGAATTTTCTTCCACAGTTTGGAATCCGTACCAGTCTGGTCAGATTGCCAGGCTGGAAAACACTCAAAGCCGTTTTGTTCGCCTGGTTGGTCTACGTTTGGGGATGCAATACCGTGCTGTTCCTGTTCATGATCTGCAACTCCAGTTGAACCTGTTGCCTCTTTCTACCAGACGTGAGGTTAATGATGTCTTGTTCTTGAAGAAGTTGGTCACATCCTCCAGTGATGCTCCCGACCTGCTCTTGGAACTAGACTTCCGCACTTCACGTAGCCTTCGCCATACCCAGCTGTTTGCGAGGCGGCAGTACTCAACACAGTACATGTACCACAGTGCACTTCCTCGTCTGCAACGTCTGGCAAACAACCTACCTGGTCAATTGGATCTGTTCAGCATGAACAATGAAACGTCCAAGAAAAAAACTTGTTAGCAGCATGCATTCCTCATACATTGAATAATTTTTTTTCTTGTCCGTGTTATGCTTTATTGTTACATATCTATTTATATTGTTATTTATTATATTTTGTATATTCATTTCCTATTTATACTGTTGTTGCTTGTCACATCGTTATATCTATATCTTGTTATCTATATCTTGTTACATTTTATATCTTGTTATGTCTTAAATCCTTTTCTTATATCTTTTTATGTCCTTCATCTTGTTATATCTTAATCTTTTTGTTGTCTATTGTTAATCTATTTATTGATTACTTCAAACTGGCTTAATTTGTTTCAAAAATGTCTATTTTTAAATTAAGTCATAATGCTTTGTCATATTTATGTATTGGTTTGACCGTTGGTATGAATAAATAAATAAAAGACCGAGTGCCAAAAACATGCCGTTGGCCAACGATCGACAGAAACGTTGGGCCAACGATTTACCAACGATTTTGCTACTTGGGTATTACAGTAAATATATTAGATTCTACAAACAATGGCTTACAGCGCAAGCACCAAAATAGGCCCAATGGGATGGTTGGCCCTTCCGCAAAAATTTGTTGGTTGGCCAACCGTAAGACTGAGTGCCAAAAACATGCCGTTGGCCAACGATCGACAGAAACGTTGGGCCAACGATTTGCCAACGATTTTTGCTACTTGGGTATTACAGTAAATATATTAGATTCTACAAACAATGGCTTACAGCGCAAGCACCAAAAAGCACCATGTGGATTTCTTGTCTACACCAATATATGACCATGGATTTATTTTCGTTTTGGCGAGGTGGCCGTGGCCGTGCCGAGCCTCAGCCAGCGAAGAGCGATCCAGTACTCAGTAGTATTTATATATCGATAGTTAAATGTTGACATGTTGGTACCGCATGGTGGAAAGACAAGACACCACCATGGTGATACCGTAGGTTACATTATAGCTTTGACTATTGGATACTAATAGCCAAAGATCATCTGGTTACATCTATTGATTTTATTTAAGAAAGTACCTGGGGACCGAGCTTTGCTCGGGGAAAATCATTAGTCCACTCTGAAAAAGCAGTCTTAGTACTGTATTGGAGACACATAGATCCATTCCCAAACTCCACACGGCTCGCCTTTACTACGTCCTACACCAATTCCTACGTCATGGACCTGTTTCCCTCCATTTCCATAGCACTTAGGATTGTAGATACCTTAATCTAATCGTTATTAACAGTTCCCACACTCCGGACAGCTCGTCTTTACTACGTCCTACACCATTTCCTACGTCATTGACCTGTTTCCCTCCCTTCCCATAGCATTTCAGAATTGCAGATACCTTAATCTAATCGTCATAAACAGTTCCCACACTACGGACAGCTCGCCTTGACTACTTCCTTCGCCACTTCCTACGTCGCGGACCTGTTTTCCTCCCTTCCCATAGCATTTTAGGATTATAGATACCTTAATCTAATCGTCATAAACAGTTCCCACACTCCGGACAGCTCGCCTTTGACTACATCCTTCACCACTTCCTACGTCGCGGACCTGTTTTCCTCCCTTCCCATAGCATTTTAGGATTGTAGAAACCTTAATCTAATCGTCATAAACAGTTCCCACACTCCGGACTACTCGCCTTGACTACTTCCTTCACCACTTCCTACGTCGCGGACCTGTTTTCCCCCCTTTCCATAGCATTTTTGGATTGCAAATACTTTAATCTAATCATCATAAACAGTTCCAAAATTCCGGCTACTCGCCTTGACTACTTCCTTCACCACTTCCTACGTCGCCGACCTGTTTTCCTCCCTTTCCATAGCATTTTTGGATTGCAAATACCTTAATCCAATCATCATAAACAGTTCCCACGCTCCAGACAGCTCACCTTGACTACTTCCTTCACCACTTCCTTCGTCACGGACCTGTTTCCCTCCCTTCCCATAGCATTTTAGGATTGCCCATACCCTTATCTAATCGTCATAAACAGTTCCCACGCTCCGGACTACTCGCCTTGACTACTTCCTTCACCACTTCCTACGTTGCGGACCTGTTTTCCTCCCTTCCCATAGCATTTTAGGATTGTAGAAACCTTAATCTAATCGTCATAAACAGTTCCCACACTCCGGACAGCTCGCCTTGACTACTTCCTTCACCACTTCCTACGTCACGGACCTGTTTCCCTCCCTTCCCATAGCATTTTAGGATTGCCCATACCTTTATCTAATCGTCATAAACAGTTCCCACACTCTGGACAGCTCGCCTTGACTACTTCCTTAACACCTTCCTACGTCGTGGACCTGTTTTCCTTCCTTCCCATAGCATTTTAGGATTGCAGATACCTTAATCTAATCGTCATAAACAGTTCTCACACTCCGGACAGCTCGCCTTGACTACTTCCTTCACCACTTCCTGTTTCCCTCCCTTCCCATAGCATTTTAGGATTGCAGATACCCTGATCTTATCGTAATAAACAGTCCCCACACTCCGGACTGCTCGCCTTGACTACTTCCTTAACACCTTCCTTCGTCACGGACCTGTTTCCCTCCCTTCCCATAGCATTTTAGGATTGCCCATACCCTTATCTAATCGTCATGAACAGTTCCCACGCTCCGGACTACTCGCCTTGACTACTTCCTTCACCACTTCCTACGTCACGGACCTGATTCCCTCCCTTTCCATAGCATTTTAGGATTGCCCATACCCTTATCTAATCGTCATAAACAGATCCCAGACTTCTCACTGCTACCCTTGACTACAATGTATCGAGTAATCTTCAGTATAATCTTTGCTAAATGATGTTTTTTTTGTACTGTATTTGTAATTTGCTAGTATACTGTGGGTAGTTGGCTTATTATGAACACATGCTACAACTTCAAGTCTTTTGTTTACTTTTTCCTTGTTATTTAATTCAGCCAACAAGGTTACCTAGCAACCCATAAGACTAATGTTAAAAAAATGTCATTTTCAATTTCATTTTTCTACGTAATTAGATTTTTGTTGGCAGTTCTAACTGCAGTAAACTCGTTTTTAGGCCAGAATTAAACTATTTACAACATTTGAAGAAAATCGTCGGAACCGTTTTCGAGATCTTTGTGCAAGCAAGCATACATACATACATACAAGCAAACATTGCTCGTATTAGAGTATAGGATTTGTTTAAATTCAATGTTTATACTGTACTGGATCATGGTGGAAGGAAAAAACGTTTTTTCCTTCCACCATGGTACTGGATTATAGGGGGGAAAAATATTTCAGGAAACGGGAAGAAGAACTATCCAACCCACTAGTCACTCTAGTCAGTAAGAGCCAATACCATCAAAGTTTATCTCTGCTCTACTCCTCTCAATCACTCTCTCTCAAATCCACTCTCTCTCCCCACCCCAGTCCAGTCTCTCCTTCCTTCCTTATCCTTCCTTGCTTCCAAGTTCTTCGCCATTACATCTACAATATTAGAGGCCGGTCCCTGAATTTGAAGATCGTAGTTATCCATTGAAGTACAGAAAATCAACATGACTGAGGATTATTTTTGGGGTAAATTATTATTTTCACACTATTCTTATCAATGTTATTGTTAATAGAGGCTTTACATTATTTAATGTGAGGCGTAGGCCTAGGTGGAGAAGAGTCCCTTGGTCTACTCACTGGTTTCTTTGTAAATTGAGGCGGTTGACAATTTGTGACCGCGTTAATGTCTTAATAACGCAAACCTTTTATTATTTTGTCTGATTCAACGTGATGCAATCACAGTAAACAAAGATGACTCAGTTTAATTTACCTGATACTTAAACCAGCCTCTTAAGTATAAAATTAGGCGGGAACATGGGGTTTAGGGGTTAGCCTAGGTTAAGACCTGTGTTTCGAAATTTTAGAACGGTTTTGAGATAGCTTTTTTTATCTTATTTTATAGAATCAAGTATCATATTTCTGTATGCTAACTTATAGGTACGGTACATAAACTTAAGTGAAGAGATTTAACTTATCCCTCCCACGGTTCTCTAGGCCTATTTTGACCCTTCACCATTTTTTGGCGGTTTTGCGGACTTATAAAGAAAAATTCATGTCATAGGCCTATATAAAAATCATAGTAACTATAATAGGCCTAAATATAATTTTACTCTAAATTAAATTGTCGGTAATTATTTGGTAAGTTAGGGTAGAGTGGGGGAATTGGGACCCATGTTTTTATTTTTTTCAATTATATTTTTATTGACAGAAAAAATCAAAATATGAGCCTGCACAAGGTTTCCAACTGTAATTTGTCTTCTTATCACATTGTTTTTCATTTTTTTAAATACATTTTACTATGAAAAAAAAAAATAAATATTAATTTGGAACCCAATTACCCCACATGGGGTAATTGCTTATAAACGATATAACCTATGCTTATAAACCCATAAGCACCTAATATTAATTTGTGGGGGTAATAGGGTTCTGAAAATGAAAACATAATAAACAAAATGCAACATACTTTTATTGAAAAAATTTTTTTTTTAGGACAGAACGGTTCAAACTATTTTTTCCAAAACATTACACTTTTTTCTAAATAAAATGGGAAAAACTTCTTCCCATGTCGAACTTCTTCTCTGGTCATATGCAAACTTTCCGGAATTTTGCTTTTTCAGCCGAAATAATTTCTAATAAATGGTTGTTATCAGTCCAATTATAAGTTAAAACAGGCCAATTATGGGCTTAGCTCACTCTTTTAGGCCCTATTTTTTTATCAAGTGGTTGTAAAATAAATTTTTCACCTTTCTGTACATCTGTGATTCCAAACCGATGTAACCACGCGATGAGACTGGTTCCCTATTACTCCATGCTGGGGTAATTGGGACCTACTTCAAAATTCTGTTTTTACACATAATACATGATAATCACCACTGCAGCCACATTTAATTATTGATTAATTATATGTGGGATTAATTATAATATTAATATTAATTATATGTGGGATAGAAAAATATGGGTCCCATTTCCCCACACCGGGGTAATTGGGACCCATTTTTTTTTAAATTTATAAAATTAATTTATAATATTTTAAAAATTTTAAAGCCCTAACAAACTATTGCTTAAACCTTAAATGTGTCAAAAAATACATTTTGGTATGGTTATTAATTCATATAATATATAAAAAATAGCTCGAAATACTACCACGCTGAAGTTTTGCCATATGTTTAACATTCGGGAAAAAACACGGCTTAATTTTTTTTATTTTTTTTTATACATTAAACACAAGATTACAATTATCCAATAATTTTTGATGAAACCCCTTTAGAATGCCTAAACTTTAACGTATTTACAATTTTGTTAAAAAAATAAATAATACAAAATTTAAAAATTTTAAAAAATAGCTCCCAATTACCCCCGGGTCCCAATTCCCCCACTCTACCCTATGTCTACAACGCGATATTATGTACTTTTTTTATGTCTGCTTACAGTATTTTTCACGCTGAATCCAAAAATGCAATCAGTTTTTGTCGGAGAGATTCCTAAATGACCGTACAGTCAAATAATTAATATTAAGCTTCAGTTTTGTTGTAATATTCACATATTTGTGGTATGGACGAGTCCAAGTTCTAGTGGCGACTAACACTTAAAGGGGAGGAAGGATTGTGGAGTGGAAACAGCTGTCAGTTGTTTACATTCGATACTAACAGACAAAACCACACACGACGCCATGAGAGCAAAATCATAGTTACAATATGCAATACCGGTAACTAGATTTTTAAAAGAAAATGGACTTTGGTGGTGTTTAGAAAATACAATAACTCAACTACGATACATAAACTATTAATCACATCAACATAAATTATAGAACAAAATAAAATTTATTCACGTAAAATATCAGTAATAGAAGCAAGGCCACTGCCGACATGATCATCGTCCTCATTCCAATCCTGAACCATTGACTAATGCCTCAACGTCTGTTAATGAACGTGCCATCTATATATATATACCGTAAGTAATACGCTAAGCCGATTTTTGTGAACAGAACTTCTCCCTCATTTTTGGACCGATTTTGATGATTAAAATGTCAAAAGAATTGCCCTGATCTGTAGTTTTGCAAAGTGTTTTTCGTTTTTTGATATCTTTATTAGTTTGGGCAGGATCTTCCATCAAAGTTGGATTTTCTCCCATAAGAATAAAATGGGGGCATCTAAAAATTTAATTGGAAACTTTTTCTCCACTAATTTGAGAGAACGGCTGGGCGTAGAAACTTGGTAGGGGTGTCAAAAGAAAGTTCTTGGTCTGTAGATGGGTTATCAAAAGAAAAACGAAGTAAATTCCCTTAGGGCTCTGCCCCAGAAGCCTTTAAAGATCCCTCTACAGATTTGTTTACATTTTGGCCATGTGGATAATACTTTTTAATGAAACAGCTGTTCATTTGTAAATTGTATTTTAAACAAGACACATTAATTGGGAGTTACTGAATTGTCCAAAAGAAGCATTTGCAATGTTATTTTCTGATTTTAAAATTAATTTTTTCTGTATCATGTTATGTTTTGCAATATATACCATGACGAAATCATTAAAAATCCTTTTATCACAGTAACTCTTAAAATTATTTCTTATTGACCTTATAATCTATTTTACGGGTTGGGGACTGCCCTTTTCACAATTTTTGTCTTTATTTTTATCATATTGTTCTAGGCAGATCATCATAGGTTCATGAGATTATTGTCATACATGTTTTCAATCATTGGAAAAATATTAAATTGCGTAATACAATACAAAATAATAGCCTACAAGTGCAGAAGGGCACGGTGCCTATTTGAGCCGTTTCCATATTTTGTTAATTTAATAGTAGTTTACAGCAACTGGATAAAACATTTTACAATATTTATGTAGAAATATTTGCATGATAAATAAATTCATTAAGCTGGAAAACTGCAATATACTGCAGACATTTCAGAGAGGTTACTTCGATGTATTCATTCAGCTTAGTGAAAACATAATATAGATATGTACCTATACAAATAAGAACTTGAATTCTTAGAGAGCATTTGAATGTTATTAGACTAACGAAAAGGGTTGTGCATGTTTACTAGCGCTACTCTGCAACAAAAACCATTTAATTTATCTCCAAAATATATATTCTTAAATTGCACTGATCAGCAGCAAAAAAAAATCTATGTAACTTACCCATATGTTATTGAAAATAACACAACATTTTGGCTGTAAATATGGCCCAATGAGTAAATAATATTTAAGCAGCTACTGTCATGACAGAAAGGTCATCATCCTTTATAAGATACGTTGATTAACAATGCATGTAAACGTCAATATTTACGTAACAGCAAATTTACAGTATTTTTGCTTTTTTGAAATGTCCCATTGCTATGTCATTTGCATTATTTGTTGTCAATGAAGCCGCATATAAATGAGGAGGCCCCTAACAGTTTAAGAATAAAAGCCAACTTCACTTCAAGTATATTCCACTACACCTCACATTTCGTAGAGAGATTATAATGACAACTTTATATAATTGATATAGCTGAGACAACTAACTGACATCCCCCATGTCAAGGAATTCCAGCTTTAACAGTAACCCCACAACAAATTTCTCAAACCGGGATAGAGGGTTATTCAATAGCACAGAAGTACTTACACTGTAATGGATATCTCCCTTTGAAGTTAGAACGTGTCTTCCCAACAAACAGATATTTTTTCAAATAAAATCATAGACTAATCTGCAATACACTGATGAAATCACGGAAGTGTTTGTGAATGTGTATGATTACAAAAGATCCACCAATACGATTTTAATACTATTTAAAGTTTAATCCAAACGATGAGATACCAGATAATATACTAATAACTCCGATGACGTACAGTATGGGAGATATTTTATTCATTGAATGATCAACCATATTTGGTAACTATCATTACTGTTTTTACACTTATTAATCTTAAAACAATGCTAAATGCTCAAAATATGTACAATTCCACTCAATTTATCGCAGTTAGATGAATTAGCGTAATCCTTGAAAATAACCGTCGATTTCGACGGGTTTCACCTAGTAGTTCATAATCCCATAGTACATAATCCCATTGTGTCTAAAAGTGAAAACGTGCCACAGTGCATAATTTTATGTATCAGCAACTAATAAATGAAGTTACATAATCTAATCTAATCGAACCTAACCTAACCCAACCCAACCCAACCTTAATAGTAATGTTTAAATCACATTTTATGTCAGAAAAGGCATGCGAGGAAGATAGGTCGGACTTTATGCGGATTCGTGACTGTATTAAGTCCTTTGAAGTGATGTTAGATTAGGTAAGTTAAAGGTTAGGTTATAATGAACCGACTCATTAATTTATGCAACTTCCAGACTGTTTTTGCACAATTGAAATAGGCTAGTGGGTGAAACACAATGAAATAAAAATATCGTTGTTTCATTGTGTTTCAACCACTATTTAATTGTGCAAAAACAGTTTGGAAGTAGCATAAATTAATGAGTCGGTTCATTATAACCTAACCTTTACCTTCCTAATCTAACCTCACTTCAAAACACTTAATACAGTCACGA